GAACGCAAGACAAAGAGCAAAATTACATTTCACGCTACATTCCCGAGTTTAGTTGGCACATCAGACGAGTGAAAGTGGATTAACTGGCCTTTGCCTTTTGGACAGAATTTGCTGATGCGAAACTATTGAACAATGTGGGATTTTTTTTTTTTTTTTTTTTTTTTTTGTGCGTTACTAATGGTGACCAGTGGGAACTGACGTTCAGTAGTTTGGAATCATTTTGAGCTTATACCATCGAAAAAGGATTGTGGGGAGTGGTTTGCAAATATGTATGTCTTCCAGCATGTTTTTTTTTTTAATTGCTGAAAGATAAGAATGATTGAACGTTTCAATCTTTAGTGCCATAGGTTGCTTGGAATTCTTTTGCCAGTGAGATGTCCCTAATGTTATTTTCACTCAAGTGCCAACACTCTGAATGTGTTTCGGAAGGAACGGTGCAATGCTAAATGAAGTGTCACCCGCCCATCTCGAATGTAGTTCTCCAGTCAGAGTTTTTAAAAAATTATTTATCTTTTAATTTAATGGTGAGTTAGTTAACTAATTAAAAACAGAAGAAAAACAATTTTATATTTTAAAATGTATTTTATTAAACTGGATTATTCAGAATTAAATCAATCACGAATAAAATTAAGAGGAATTCATGATCAAAATGAACATTTCTACATTTTATGCAGACATTCAAACTGTTTTATTTCATTAAATTGGTTCGTTAAAATTCAATTAAAAATCATCAACCAAAAGCACAGGAAGGAATTGTTAAAATAAACTATTTTGCATAGCCTTTTTTTTTAAACCTAATCTACAAAAGACCTTGCTCATTTGCATGTTTAAAAAAATCAATCAAACGCTGGCTAATTCATAGGTCAATTCAATTGCATGTTTTTGGAATGCAAGAGGAAACCTGGAGAAAACCCACAGACACGGGGAGAATAGGAAGGTCAGAGCCCTGAATCGAGCCTCAGACCTCTGCACTACGAGGCAAATGTGCTAACTGGTTGACCACTTTGCCGCCCAACTTCAAACCCTGAGGTTTTAAAGCTTTATAAGGGGATGGTGGCCAAAGGGGGGGGGGAAAAAAAAACACCAGGGTTATGATTTAAGTAACATTACCAATAAGGTGCTGGCCGCTGATGGTCACTGGTCCTGAGCCAGCCTTCAGGCGGATGGTTAATGGTGCTTTTACCTCAAACTCACCCAAGCTCACCTGAAGACAATGTACACCACACATGTTTATAATGTAATAAAGATTATTCTACATCAGTAACAATAACAATCAACAATGTTCACTGATTATAGAGATTTTATTTCAAGGCCGTATGACCCATGACAACAGCCTTAAATGGCTGCAGCACAGCCTCTTTCATCCATAACCGCTTCAAAACACAACAAAGCGTGTGTAGGAATGGAAAAAAAAAAATTCATTATGATTGCGTTATTGTGAATGCTTTGTGATGTGTTCTGTAAAACGCTTTGTTACAGCTGCAGTGACAGCTCGATATAAAGCTGAGTGGTGCGTTTTTACTTATTTCAACAGGATATCCATGAGAAGAGTGCAGAGGCCTTGAATAATATGACAGTGAGATTTAAATAGCATACATGGCAATGGCGAGTGATGAAAAAAGCGGAAGGGGCGTGGCCTGGACGGGGGCGTGGCCTGGACGGGGGCGTGGTTACTTACAAAAGTGGCACTAAACATGCTGAAGATGAAGTGTATTAAATTTACAGTTTGAAAATTGAACAGAAAAAAATCCCAAGATCGCCACTATTCTTTCAAGTGAAAATTTGTGCAATTTTGCCTATGCATTCCTGGTGAGCACCAATATGTAACTCCAAATTTGCTGCTCAAAATCAAAACTAAAAAAGTAAACACATTCCCTGCCATATTTAAG